GATGTGGCAACTGTGTTAATTGATGTGGCAGCTGTGTTAATTGATGTGGCAGCTGTGTTAATTGATGTGGCAGCTGTGTTAATTGATGTGGCAACTGCGTTAACTGATGTGACAGCTGTGTTAGTTGATGTGGCAGTTGTGTTAATTGATGTGGCAGCTGTGTTAATTGATGTGCCTGCTGTGTTAATTGATGTGACAGCTGTGTTAATTGATGTGGCAACTGTGTTAATTGATGTGGCAACTGTGTTAATTGATGTGGCAGCTGTGTTAATTGATGTGACAGCTGTGTTAATTGATGTAGCAGCTGTGTTAATTGACTTTTCAACTCCATCAAAACTCTTGAAGTCACTTGTCTCTGTAAAGTTATGGTCGCTGTCTCTGTGTAAAGTTATGGTCACTGTCTCTGTGTAAAGTTATGGTCACTGTCTCTGTGTAAAGTTATGGTCACTGTCTCTGTGTAAAGTTATGGTCGCTGTCTCTGTGTAAAGTTATGGTCACTGTCTCTGTGTAAAGTTATGGTCACTGTCTCTGTGTAAAGTTATGGTCACTGTCTCTGTGTAAAGTTATGGTCACTGTCTCTGTGTAAAGTTTATGGTCACTGTCTCTGTGTAAAGTTATGGTCACTGTCTCTGTGTAAAGTTATGGTCACTGTCTCTGTGTAAAGTTATGGTCACTGTCTCTGTGTAAAGTTATGGTCACTGTCTCTGTGTAAAGTTATGGTCACTGTCTCTGTGTAAATTTATGGTCACTGTCTCTGTGTAAAGTTATGGTCACTGTCTCTGTGTAAAGTTATGGTCACTGTCTCTGTGTAAAGTTATGGTCACTGTCTCTGTGTAAAGTTATGGTCACTGTCTCTGTGTAAAGTTATGGTCACTGTCTCTGTGTAGTTGTCCAATAACAACAAGCTAATTAGTGTCATCACTAATACGAAACGTTCTGTATACTTTATTATCAGGCCTCGTTTCCCTCACCATGAGACTTGTTAAGTCTGTGTACAATGAACGGTGTACAGTGTACAGTGAACGGTGTACAGTGTACAGTGAACTGTGTACAGTGTACAGGCGAGGGGTAAGGATGGGGGCCCAGCAAGACAATATCAACAGACATTTAACAAGAGTGTTGTGCAGGGAAGGGATTCCTGCAAAGCGGTTCCCTGCACAAGGGTATCCCTGGGTTTATGGGCCGTGGAGTCATGGGCAGGTCTGGACGTTAATACTCCCGGCTCTTTCCCTAAGCCTTCTTAGTGTTGGAGCGAATTACTGGTAATCCTGGGTAGGTGAGTGCTCCCTTTTGCAAGGTCCGAGCATTCATAGAGTTACCTCCCCCTTTCCCTCTTCTTCCAAGCTTCTCTTCCTCAACCAAATCCCTACCACTTACCCTCCAAAAGTTCCCCTAACACCCCTTCCCCAATCTCTGGTCGTGCTCCTCTGTTTTGTTGCCTCTGCTTTTGGTCTGCTTCTCTTGTTACCTCTGATTACATAAACAAATATATCTGCTGGTGTTTCTACCACGTTATGTCCTTAATAATGTGTTCCTAGGCGTTTTGTGCATCCATATGGTGTTGCACTACCGTCCACAGGATGGATGTGGAGGTGCATAATAAACTAGCTACTTCGGTGACAATATCTAACTCTAATATAATGTATATCTTATGTATAAACTGTTAGTGGTGTGGGGGAGTATAGGTCTGTGTATTTCCATACACTCACACTAAGACATAAACAACATTGCCGGAAATTTAGCTTGTATTTAATTATGAACATTGACAGAGGTGGCGATTGAGAGTATAGACAGACTGAGAGTCACAGCACAGTAGTGATTCAGTAGAGCTTTCACACGGACATTTCCCCTTTTTGACAAAGCTCACCCGTGTGCTAAACTTTGTCTGTACACAGGTTATATGTAATTTATCAAACCAGTCAACATCTCCGTGCCTTTCAGAGCAAAACTTCGAATTTACGATAATTGGAAATGTCTAGCTGTGTGCGGTGCATTGAAATCTCCAGCATCATGTTGGCGCATACTGAAGTTATGTTCCTGACATATGTAGCTACGTGGAGGATACTCCTTCACTCCAGCTCCATTAGAGGCTAGTATGGAGGGTGAAGTGGTGGAGGGAGACTCCAGGTATGGTTTTAAGAACATGTACATCACAGTTACCATGGCCAGCAGTGTGAGATTAGTCACGGGAAGTTAATTGAGAGGAGGGTGGTGGGGCCAGGAGCTAGGGCTCAACCCCTGGAACCACAACTAGGTAAGTACAGCTAAATAAACTACTCACCACCGCTACTACCAACAATACTACCACAACCACCACCACTCGTGACTCACCTTCATAACTTCTGTGGCTCCTTTCAAAACGTTTACGGTGTGGTATTTTCAATGAGCTAATATATTATATATTACCAACTGGTTATCTTCACACACACACACACACACACACACACACACACACACACACACACACACACACACACACACACACACACACACACCACAAAAAACATGCCAAGCGTCTTTCAACAAGTTCGTTTGACAATCAGAAACGAACACATTGACACATACACACACATACACTGTCACGAGCACAGGTGGTACTTTAGAGGCCTGTATCACCTGGTATACCTGGAGAGTAGACCTTGGAGACTATACGTGGAGAGTAGACCTTGGAGACTATACGTGGAGAGTAGACCTTGGAGACTATACGTGGAGAGTAGACCTTGGAGACTATACGTGGAGAGTATACCTGGAGAAGGTTTCGGGAGTCAGCGACCCGCGGCCCGGTCTGTGAAACATGCGGTCAGCAGGACAGAACAAGGGCAAGACAAACACGGCAGAGCTAGATATCTTTACCCATTTATTCCTTCACCACTTATTTACAATTTATACAATGTAAATATATTGAGATATCAGAGTATGTAATAGCGCAACCAGAGCCACTCAAGGCATGAGTGGTCACGACCAGTGTCTGTGGAAGTCTGTCACCCAGCCAGATGGACAGGTGAGATGTCACCTTGGCTGGAGTAGCCGGCTTACACGTTATTGGTGGGTTGAACTGGACAATAAGCGCAGTGGGGGCCCCAGAACTGCTACACTTTGAGTTACCAGTTCACTGGTCGAGAGGACATGACAGTGGTTATGTGACGAATGTCGAATATAATGTAACATACTCGGCACATAACACATGCACTCATACAGTCCTACACACACACACACACACACACACACACACACACACACACACACACACACACACACACACACATAAACAGGCCAGGTGTCTTTCAACAAGTGCCTTTGACAACTAGTAAATAACCAATTAACTATCAAACTCCATTCACCTTTTAAAGATCTGTTAAGATAAGGTACTGGAGGCCGGGACGTAATATATTACGGCCAGTTTGTGAAGAGGCGGGTCCAGGAGGTGAGCTCAACCCCCAAACACAACTCAGTGAGTACACAACTCACCAGTTTAGCTAACAAGAGATAAATAAGAGAGACGCACAGCCCAGACTAACCTTAAAAGGTGAAACTAAATTCATTAAGAATTCATGGAAAAACGAAGTGTGGATGATGGTCAAGGTAATAATAACTGAGATAGACAGAGACAGATAGAAGACAGAGAGACAGAGACAGATAGAAGACAGATAGAGAGACAGAGACAGATAGAAGACAGAAAGAGACAGAGACAGATAGAAGACAGAGAGACAGAGACAGATAGAAGACAGAGAGAGAGACAGAGACAGAAGACAGAGAGAGAGACAGAGACAGAAGACAGAGAGAGAGACAGAGACAGATAGAAGACAGAGAGAGAGAGGAGAGACAGATAGAAGACAGAGAGAGAGAGACAGAGACAGATAGAAGACAGATAGAGAGACAGAGACAGATAGAAACAGAGAGAGAGACAGAGACAGATAGAAGACAGAGATAGAGACAAAGAGAGAGACAGAGACAGATAGAAGACAGAGAGAGACAGAACAGAAGACAGAGAGAGAGACAGAGACAGATAGAAGACAGAGAGAGAGACAGATAGAAGACAGAGACGATAGAAGACAGAGACAGAGACAGATAGAAGACAGAGAACAGAGACAGAAGACAGAGAGAGAGACAGAGACAGATAGAAGACAGAGAGAGAGACAGATAGAAGACAGAGAGAGAGACAGAGACAGATAGAAGACTAATAGAGACAGAGAAGATATAGAACAGAGAGAGACAGAGACAGATAGAAGACAGAGATAGAGACAAAGAGAGACAGAGACTGATAGAAACTAGAGAGAGAGGATGACAGAAGACAGAGAGAGAGACAGAGACAGATAGAAGACAGAGAGAGAGACAGATAAACAGAGAGAGAGAGACAGAGACAGATAGAAGACAGATAGAGAGACAGAGACAGATAGAAGACAGAGAGAGAACAGAGACAGATAGAAGACAGAGATAGAGACAAAGAGAGAGACAGAGACAGATAGAAGACAGAGAGAGAGACAGAGACAGAAGACAGAGAGAGAGACAGAGACAGATAGAAGACAGAGAGAGAGAGACAGAGACAGAAGACAGAGAGAGACAGAGACAGAAGACAGATACAGACAGACAGACATAGACACACTATTTACCGGCTGCATTTACTTTCATCTGCTTGTGTGGTTGAGCTCCGGCTGCTGGGCTCTTCTCCAGTTCGAAATCTGTCGTACCTTCTCGTAATACTACACACGGTGTCAGTTTTAATTACACACACACACACACACACACACACACACACACACACACACACACACACACACACACACACACATATATAATATATATATATATATATAATATATATATATATATATATATATATATATATATATATATATATATATATATATATATATATTATTATTATTATTATTATTATTATTATTTGCAGTAGCAGTAGTAGTAATGTTATTTAATATATTATTATTAAACTCAGGTGGGAGTGCCAAGTGCCTTATCTCTCTCTTCTCTCTCCCTGTCAGGGCGGTGTCATCAGTCGTGGCCCTGGGTGCCAACCTGCTGTGCTCCAGGGTGCCATCGCTAACCCCCCGCCAGCGCCGCATCTGCACCAGGGCCCCTGATGCCATGGTGGCCCTGAGCGAGGGCTCCAGCACCGGCCTCCGTGAGTGCCGACACCAGTTCCGGCATCAGCGCTGGAACTGTTCCCTGGCTGGCTCTGGCACCTTCAGTCACGTGGTGCTTGTTGGTGAGTTATCCTCCTGTCTACTGCTATCCTGCTGTTGGTGAGTTATCTTCCTGTCTACTGCTATCCTGCTGTTGGTGAGTTATCTTCCTGTCTACTGCTATCCTGCTGTTGGTGAGTTATCCTCCTGTCTACTGCTATCCTGCTGTTGGTGAGTTATCCTCCTGTCTACTGCTATCCTGCTGTTGGTGAGTTATCCTCCTGTCTACTGCTATCCTGCTGTTGGTGAGTTATCCTCCTGTCTACTGCTATCCTGCTGTTGGTGAGTTATCTTCCTGTCTACTGCTATCCTGCTGTTGGTAAGTTATCCTACTGTCTGCTGTTATCCTGCTGTTGGTGAGTTATCCTCCTGTCCACTGCTATCCTGCTATTGGTGAGTTGTCCTCCTGTCTTCTGCTATCCTGCTGTTGGTGAGTTATCCTCCTGTCTACTGCTATCCTGCTGTTGGTAAGTTATCCTCCTGTCTACTACTATCCTGCTGTTGGCGAGTTATCCTCCTGTCTACTGCTATCCTGCTATTGGTGAGTTGTCCTCCTGTCTACTGCTATCCTGCTGTTGGTAAGTTATCCTACTGTCTGCTGTTATCCTGCTGTTGGTGAGTTATCCTCCTGTCCACTGCTATCCTGCTATTGGTGAGTTTCTTCCTGTCTACTGCTTCCTGCTGTTGGTGTTATCTCCTGTCTACTGCTATCCTGCTGTTGGTGAGTTATCTTCCTGTCTACTGCTATCCTGCTGTTGGTGAGTTATCTTCCTGTCTACTGCTATCCTGCTGTTGGTGAGTTATCTCCTGTCTACTGCTATCCTGCTGTTGGTGAGTTTATCTTCCTGTCTACTGCTATCCTGCTGTTGGTGAGTTATCTTCCTGTCTACTGCTATCCTGCTGTTGGTGAGTTATCTTCCTATCTACTGCTATCCTGCTGTTGTTGTTGCTGTTGTTCCTGTTGTTCCTGTTCCTATCGTTCCTGTTCCTGTTGTTACTGATCCTGTTGTTGTTGTTCCTGTTGTTGCTGTTCCTGCTGTTACTGTTATTATTCCTGTTGTTGCTCTTCCTGTTGTTATTGTTCCTGTTGTTCCTGCTGCTGCTGCTGCTGTTGTACCTGTTGTTGCTGCTGCTGTTCCTGTTGTTACTGTTCCTGTTGTTATTGTTCCTGTTGTTGCTGCTGTTCCTGTTGTTACTGTTCCTGTTGTTGTTGTTCCTGTTGTTGCTCCTGTTCCTGTTGTTACTGTTCCTGTTGTTGTTGTTCCTGTTGTTGCTCCTGTTCCTGTTGTTACTGTTCTGTTGTTGTTGTTCCAGTTGTTGCTCCTGTTCCTGTGTTATGTTCTTTGTGTGTTCCTGTTGCTGCTCCTGTTCCTGTGTTAGTTCGTGTTGTTGTTCCGTGTGCTGCTGTTGTTACGTCTGTTGTTGTTGTTCTTGTTGTCTGTTCCTGTTTTGTTGTTCTGTGTGCTCCTTCGTTGTTACTTCTGTTTTGTTGTTCCTGCTGTGCTGTTTTTTTATTATTATTATTATATATTATTATTATTATTATTATTATTATTATTATTATTATTATTATTATTATTATTATTATTATTATTGTTGTATTAATATTAGTATTATATTATTGATATAGGATTAGTCAGCTTAGTTGTTATTAAATTTACTATTATAATATATTTTTTTTCTATTCTTTATTATTTTGTTATTTTATTATTATTGTTCATTATCTATCTTTACTTTCTTCTTTTTTTTTTCATTTTAGGTTTTTATTTTACTTTTATTATTATACTTTTTTTTATTATTATCTATTCATTATATTATTTTACTATTATATCATTGCTTGTTGTTTATATTATCTATTATTATTTTATGTATTATATTTTGTATTATTATTTATTACTTATTATATTATTATCTATTATTATTATTATGAGAGAAACAGTCAGGAACTGAGAACGGATAGGCTAGCTGTATCGTTGGATCAAGAGCCCTTTACTATCAAGATAATCTCTCTACTCTCTCTCTCTCTCTTCTCTCTCTGTGCTCTCTCTCTCTCTGCCTACTCTCCTGCAGTTCTCTCTACTCTCAACCCTCCATCTTTGGCTCTACTGCTTCACTCATTTCCCTCTCTCTCTCTCCTCAGGCCTTTCCAGTTTCCTTTCAATCCTTTCTCTTCCTATTTCTCTTCCCCATTAACCTCCTTCCAAGCCCTTTATCATCTGCCTCTCTCCCTCCTCTCCCTCAATTCCTCCTCATTTGTTTACGTAATCCTTGTAATCCCATTTTTGCATTCTTTTCTCCTCCTCCTCCCCTCCGCAGAGTTAAACCCGTCCGGACCCTAAACCGGTTTCTAGGTTGGGTTCTAATTCTTTCTTAATGTTAATGTTTATTATTTTTGTTTTTCTTGGTGCTTCAGTATTGCCTAAAATCACCTGAAAAAGTTCTTTGAAACCCCGAGACAAGAGCAGCAACACAGAAGTTTGTTGGGGGAAAAAATCAGTAACTGCTACAACGATTCATTTGGTCCAGTAATAAGAGGCGATAAACCTGAAATTGTTGGAGGTTAGTGTTATTGTTTTTGTAGGTTCATTATCCTCAAGGGCCCTGATACAGGATCGTCATGGAGGTCCCTGAAAGAAGATCCTCAGGGGTACCTGGTACAGGATCCTCAGGGATCCCATGATACAGGACCCTCAGGGCTCCCCTGAAACAAGATTCTCATGGGTACCTGGTACAGTTACTCAAAGGTCCCTGTTACAAGATACTCTGTGGTCCTTGATACAACACATTCATGGGTCCCCTGATACAAAGTTCTCAGGGTTCCCCTGATACAAGATACTGAGGGCTCCCCTGATACATGACACTCAGAGCTCCCTGACACCACCATGGCATCACTGAGTACTTTACAGAACTGACAGAAATCCAAGATGGCCACCAAGAAAATACTAATACATCGTTATGTTTGTCAACCATAACAGCTTCTGATATAAATTATATGATGCGTCAACGTCTGAGTCTATAGTTTCTCTCCCGGAAAATTCATTTTCTCCCGATGTAAATTGATTAGGATGATTTACAATGGCCAAAGAGTGAACGAATAAGACGGCCCTGTTCACTCTGAGTTCTGATGTTTATGAAAATTTATGCTGTAGGGTAGATAGATAAATGTGAAATAGATTATCTGCTTGTTGTATGTTATATCTATGTTTGAAAATTTTGTCTTGTTGACTCGTGTGAGGAAAGGAATGCTAGGCAGTATCAAGGTGTCCATAGTGTTGATAGACCCCATAAAGATATCTGTCTCGTTTGAGACAAGGATTGACAGGTGGGCTCTGGGTGTCCAAATTCGACTCGTTAGTCGAACATATGAGTGAAGTAGATGCTGTCTACTACGACACTCTTACGACACGACTTCCTAGACAGGGATGTGGTGATGGTGGTGAGTTCCCTCTTCCTAGTGCAATGTACAACACGTCTAGGAGTCAATAGAAAGTAGACAAGAGGGAAGTTATTGTGAATGTTATGGAATACCGACATGTTAATGAGTGAAACATATGTGCGACACCGGGATATATTTATTGGAGAGATGTTTCGCCTGTGTTGCAGGCTTCTTTAGACGAATATATGTTTTTTTTTATTTACCAGCTTGTTGATATTGTGAACCGTTTATATAATGAATCTCTCTCTCTCTCTCTCTCTCTCTCTCTCTCTCTCTCTCTCTCTCTCTCTCTCTCTCTCTCTCTCTCTCTCTCTCTCTCTCTCTCTCTCTCTCTCTCTGACCACAATGAAACAAGGGTAAGAAGAGGATAATATGTTGTACAGAAGGGAGAAGATCAATAGAGAGATCCTTAGCATTGTGTATGATGGTGTGTGCTGGCCATAACAACCATTGATACGCCGGCCCTAACAACTATTGATACGCCGGCCCTAACAACTATTGATACGCCGGCCCTAACAACTATTGATACGTCAGAAGCCTCCAGTCACAAGAGCTGAGCTGGGTAAAAATCTCTCTCAACACTAACCTCCCCATCAGCATCGATACAGTCTCCCAGACGATCCCTTTCTGCGTGAAGAATCTCTCACAATGGCCGCCTGTCTCACGCTGAGCGACCGCGGATACTGAACATCAACCCCTGAGTTTCCCTTCCCCCTAGAATTAAAGTCTCCAGCCCCCTGATAGAACCCCTTAGAGATGAAAAAAAATGCGGTTGAAGTCTTCAGAGTGTGTTAATGTTGGTGTGGGGCAGTAAGGGCGAGGTACCTGGTTGTAGTGGACTGGTATTTTCACCAGGCTTCGGATGAGAGGGTCAAGTCACAGCTCCTGGTCTCGTCTTTCAACTTCTTTCCCACCTTCAGGGATGTAGTGTATCCATTACGGAATCTGCTCTTCTTTGTGCGCATAACCTGTAAGATGTGGGCAGCATATACGAAGGAATATATGCATCTCAGTGTATATTCTCTCAGTATGTGTCCCTCAGTATATATTCTCTCAGGATATATATGTCAGTGTATATTCTCTAGCTATATATCTCTCAGTGTATATTCTCTCAGCATATATAATGCTCAGTGTATATTCTCTCAGTATATATGTCTCTCAATGTATATTCTCTCAGTATATATGTATCTCAGTGTACATTCGCTGAGAGTTTAATTCATTTTTTTATGAGAGGACTAAAGTATTCTTGACAGGTGATAAAGAAGAGAAATGTAGCCTTAATGACCCTCGTGCAGTTGACAAGCTTTAAACCCGGTGACCCAAGTTGTGGAGGCACGTCTGCGAATTTAAATCGTACGGGTAACAAGGGCAGATTGTTATATACGCACGTACCAAGAGCAGAGAGGAAGCTGGCCAGCCAGCTTCGTGCTGGATAACTTGTAGTCCCACAACAAGACGTGTTGTAGTTTAAGTCACTACACTTGCGGCCACTTCAGCGTAAATCAACATCTGGTTGATCTGAGAACAGAACGCAGCTGAGATCTGCAAGGCGAGCAGATTCTCCCACTGGTATGACAGCACACACAC